TCCGGCCGGCCGGCCGAACCGGACGAGCCGGTTCCGACCGGCCGTCGTTTCCGGACGGCTTTCTTGCCGTCCGGCCGGCCGGTTCGGACACGGCCGGTCCGACCGGCCATGCTTTCCGGACGGTCTTTAAGCCGTCCGGCCGCCGGTTCCGGACGGTCTTTAAGCCGTCCGGCCGGCCGGTCCGGACGGGCTATAAGCTGTCCGGAACCGACGGCCGGACACGTATTTTTTCGTACCTCCGAATTTGACGATATTTCACCGTACACTTTCTTCTGAGATGTTTAGAAAAAATGAGAAAGACAAAATTGTCCAAAAGGGGCGGTGACTAGTAAAATGAGGGCGGTGAATAGTAACGCCAAAAAAAAAAAGAGTCATAGTGAATTACATATATAAGCACAATCTCGTTTTGAGAGTTCGACAAGCCGTTTCTTTCAGAACTTACTACTACTTCGCCACTCAACCTCAGTCTGACCCCTCCAAAGAAAAACCCTAACATTTTTCTCACCGAAAAATGTCGAAAGCCCGTGAGCTCGTCTCCTCTGAAACCTCTTCTGGCGAGGAGCAAACCGACGATTATTCGTCTGAGGAAATCGAATCTGAGCCCGAACCGATCCGGAAGTCTTCAGCACCGCCGGCCGCCGCGAGGAAACCCCAAACCCCTTCCGCCATAATGCCCGCCCCATCCGACGAGGATTCTGAATCTGAATCCGAATCCGAATCCGAAAAGAAGTCCAGAAAAAAATCCAAGGCGAAAGGCAAGGACAAGGCCTCCGCCGCCTCCGCCTCCGCTTCAGCGGCCAGATCTACCAGGAAGAGGGCCGTCGAGGAGGGTAAAGTGACGGAGCCCACTGTCACCAAGAAGTTGAAGAACAGTAAGAAGGCTGAATCCGAGACATCCGAGAAGAAACAACTGTGCCAGAGATTATGGAGATTATGGAGCCAGGCCAATGAAATCGCATCCTCCATGGAATTCTGCAGTTTAGGGCCGAGAAAAAATCCAACCCGAATGATAATTTTGACCCGTTTCTTCTATAATTCGGGTTGGATTTCTTCTCCGCCCTAAACTGCAGAATTCCATTGAGGATGTCGATTTCATCGGCCTCGCTCCATAATCTCTGGCACAGTTGTCTCGGGTTCAGCCTTCTTACTGTTCTTCGACTTCTTGGTGACAGTTTCTTCCAGAATTCGGGTTGGATTTCTTCTCGGCCCTAAACTGCAGAATTCCGTTGAGGATGGCGTCGTCGGCCTCGCTCCATATTCTCTGGAACAGTTGTTTAGGGCCGATGAATTCAAGAAACAGTTCATCAAGAAGAATTTGCCAATGGCAGAGAAAATGTGCGGGGCTGAGAAAGAAAACGTCATCGAAAAAGCCAATGGCAGTGGGGCTGAGGAAGAAAACGGGGTCGAAAAAGCCAATGGAAGTGGGGCTGAGAAAGAAAACGGGGTCGAAAAAGCCAATGGAAGTGGGGTGGACACCAATAATATTAAGGATTCAGTGGCTAGTGAGAGGAGGATTGTGCGGATGAGGGAAAGGTTGTTGAGTGGTTTAGGCAATGTTCCAGCTGTTGGGGACTTCATGCTCAAGGAGGGGGAATGGGGGTTAAGGAGGACGAAGAAGCTGGAGAGTGAAGAGATGGAGATGTATGTGAGGCATTTTGAGGTGAAGACTCACCAGGCAAAGCTTCTTCTGCAGATGATGAAGTCCTGGGGCCATTGATGGTGTGCACGCAGGTTGCTGCCTTCTAATTTTATCAATATCTATAGTTTATTTGGCTTATTATGTGATGGATCCATTGGATATTTTGGTTTGTGTTTATGATTTGCTAGTTTCCAGGCTTTTGTTACTATGTGTGGGAATTCTGGTATATTTTATGATGGTCTGTCCAATTGGGTAGTGTCTTAACATTAACTCTGTTTATCCTTTTTAGTTTGTTTTTGAATGTCCTTTGTATATGAAGGCTCCTTGATATCTACCTATATTATTAGTATGTTTACCAATTTTCTATGCAGGTATGGCTGGCTTTGAAAGTATATTATAATGTAGGAAATCAGTTTATTATTGCTAACTGGGCCAGAAATTTCCGATGTTTGCTTCGACTCGTCATGTACCTTTGCATTCAATGTATGTGGCTTATATATTCACTTTGCTGTAGATGTTTTGGGTGAATCTTGTGTGTAAAGTTTGTTTTTATGTTTTGCTGTACTAGGACATGGTGCTGATTGTTTGCTATGTCGGTCTCTCATTTTAAAACTCCTTTGTATGTATACGATTCCTTGTGAAAAAACTATGGACTACCATTTGCAAGGTAGTAAAAATCAGCCAAAGCGAATTTGTAGAGTACCTGTGAGGGAAATTGTTTGGGCAAAAAATGAGAGGCTATTTTGAGCGACTTCACACTCCAGGCTATTTTTCTGGACTCAGGGATTGGAGGAGGGTGCTTCACACTCCGGGCTTACTCAGTGGGCGGGTGGAGTGAGCAGAACTGGGGGCACTGAATGGCGAACGAGCTTTTCAAGCTTTTTAGGATATATTTCTAATCCCGGTGTTTACCTGCCATTGTCAAGCCATGAAGTGGTTTCTGAGGTATTTGGTGGGTTCCATAAACTATGGTTTGAATTTTTCGAAGCAAGAGAAAGGTGTTAAAATGGTTGGCTATGTGGGTTCCAACAATGCTAATGATAGATATGATAATAATAATATAAAAAAAAAATCTATGAATTCTTATGTGTTTACTTTGTGTGGTGCTCGTAAGTTGGAAATTTCAGTTACAACTTACAACACATAGTTGCACTTTAGACCACCGACTTTGAGAATGTTGTTGAGGCTAAAGCCTTGAAAGAGACTATTTGGCTTAAGGATTTGTTATATGAAATTTGGTTTCTTGATAATAAGGTTGTCGTCCGTTTGAGATCCAACTTTGTAAAAATCCCATTTTCATGACCATACTAAGCATATAGATGTTTGGTTTCATTTCACTGTACATGTGACTAAAGGCTTAGTTTGAAAAAATTGCATCTGAATTTTAATCCAACTGAATGAGAACTAAGTACTTGCTTGTTGAGAAGTTTCAATCTTGAAACTTTGAACTTTGACACGTGTGATTAATGTACTATGTGACATTCTTGGTGATATAGCTGACCTCGTGTCTGTTGCATAATTGGGGTAATGTTGTATTTGAGTTCAAGTACAGTAATTAAGGTATGAAAAATGATGAAATCATACTGTTCTCTTTTTTTAGTGAGTTGTGAACCAAAATATGGAGAATATTAGAAGGGAAATTTTCACCTATGCTATCCGTTTATAAAATAATTGCTGCTTTACCACTCAATCTAATTTAATTGTGTATATGCCTAATTGATAAGATTTATTTGCATTCATGCCTAATGTCAGTTACAATTCTCTCTCAACCCTATCCCCTGTTTTTTTGCGCAAGATTTGCAGATTGATGATGGAAAGAATCCAATTTGTTACAGATAGGCCACTTCCATTCCATATTTATAGGACATGATTTGTGGGTAGTTAGAAAAAAAGAAGAAGAAATTGTCGTTGATTTTTTTTCTGTTTTCATTAATACACACACAACCAAAAGAAAGAAAAAAAAGACGAACACAGAGGGCGTTGACCTCTTTTTTTTTCA